AGGTACACTGGAAAACACCTAGCAGTTCATACTCCTCCTTTACCGGCTAACAGAGTGCGTGACGCTGTAGCTTTTGAAGTGACCGGTATTGACTTTGCGGGACCGCTGTTCCTTAAGACCGGTGAAAAAGTTTGGATTTGTATGTTCACGTGTGCGATCTTCAGGGCGGTTCATCTGGAACTCTGTTGTTCGTTATCAACTTCTAATTTTCTTCAGGCCTTACGTCGGTTCGTGTCTCGTCGTGGTAGGCCGAAAACGATTTATAGTGATAACGGTACGGGTTTTGTGGGTGCTGAAAATGCCTTATCATGTCTGGACTGGGACAGTATTACTCGTGAGATGTCTGTGCAACGTATTCGTTGGCATTTTAATCCACCTACCGCAGCTTGGTGGGGAGGATTCTGGGAGCGCCTCATTGGTGTTATGAAACAGTTGTTGAGAAAAACACTAGGTCGTGCTAGTTTGGACTATGAGACTTTGCTAACGTTGTTATGTGAGTGTGAGGCAATAATTAATTCGCGACCATTAACGTATCTATCGGAGGATCCTCAAGAGTTAGTTGCCTTGACACCAGCGATGTTTTTGCGGGATCAGGTGGACTGGGGGCTACCAGATTGTGATGCTATAGACAATGCTTCATTGTGTCGGAAAGTGCGTCGGGTTCAGACTTTGCGAGAGGAACTTCGTAAGCGATTTCGTTTGGAATATCTTGGACAGTTAAAACTAGTTTACGCGAATAAAACTCACCGCCAGATCGCACTTAATGAAATTGTGCTTGTCGGCAACGATGGCAGTAAACGTTTAGATTGGCCTATGGGACGAGTTGTTGAACTTTTTCCTGGTAAAGATGGAAGTGTTCGACTGTGCAAAGTTAAGACAGCTAAGGGATATTTATTGAGACCTGTCCAGCGTCTTTACCCACTAGAGTGTTGTACTGTTCCTGAGTTCGAGCTTCGGAATGATGTGAAGACGTCAATGAAGGATAACGGTGAATTAAATGGTACCCCACATGTTCCTGAGTTGGCTGCCAGAGACTTCAGTTCCGAAGACGAATATTGTGAGGGTGCGGGAGTGTTTAAAGTCAGTATTCCGACAAATAGTGCAAAGGTTTCTGAAGTGAAAATCACACGTACGGGACGGGCTTCTAAATTGCCTAAACGTTATTTAGAGTAGTGATTGTAAAAACTGTACCTATTAGCCATTTTTAATTTTTTGTATAATGGTTTTGTAGCATTTCTCTTTTAGATTTTGTGAGTAATATTTTATTTTATCAGAATATTCCTCAGGTGGGAGTATGTCAGATATTACCTTTACTTGAAACAATTTGGTGGATGAAAGGCTTAGTGGTATTGGGCCACGAAAAAGAAGAAAAATAATAGACTATGAAGTATGCTATGAATGTTAAGTTGTTGTTGTTATTGCAAGTATGTCAATAAATATAATTTTAAATAAAAACCAAATCCAACATACGCAAACCTCTTAAAACGGGTAGTTTTTTGGTGGTGCGACAATTAGCAGAAGAATTAAAATTAAAAATTTAAGATAAAAAAGATCTCTAACCAAAAAAAAAAAACAAACCTAAATTGTCACATAAAAAATCTTTGAAATATGGAAGTAACAAAAATGTACAAAATAATTAAGAATATTCCCGAATCGATGACTAAATAAACTAATACATAAAACTTAGTACATTTTAATAGCAATAATACAATGTGATATGTAGATAGTAAATCGACAGTATTCTGACCAAACTGGGTACACGTTACAAAGGTGTATTGAGGTATTCTGTCTTTGAGTAAAAACAATATGTTAAAAAAATGCTTTCTGATCCTATTTTTAAACAGTGGTGGAGACAGAATTTTTATTTCGTTAGGCAGATAGTTATACAAGTGAATATCAATTGAATTATTTGTGCTCTTTGATAGTCTGAATCGTTGTGACCTAATTAAATCCCACGATCTTGTTAGATGATCATGTAATTGGCAGTTTATAGTAAACTTATTTTTATTATCGTGAATTTCCAAAAGTGTTGCATATATATAAAGCGAAGGTAGAGGCATAATACCCATGTTCAAAAATAATGGTTTACAATGATCCCTTAAACCCGCTCCAGCAAGATCCTCACCACCTTCTTTTGTAATTTAAATATTCTGTCGACATGACCAGAGTTGCCCCAAACAGCATATTCCATATTGTATATGACTATGAAACAATGAAAAGTAACACATTTTAAGGGTACTTTTAGGTACCAAATAAACCAGGTTACGCATTACAAATATTGTACTGGCGAGTTTAAAACTTAAGTTGTCTATATGGATGCCCCAATCTAAGTTGTCATCCATAAAAATCCCTGACACTTTGATGCTATATCCAAAAATGTGTCTTCGATCTGAACTGAAAACTATATTTTGATTTTTATCCTCGTTTAGTTTTAGTTTATTATGTGTAAACCAGTTTTTAATTTTAAGCACATCGTTTCGTATTTTGTTATTTAAATTATATTGATTCTGGTCGGTACTAATAACGGTTGTATCATCTGCAAAACATATACACCTTAAGGGGTGGGTATAATGAAATATATCGTTGAGATATAGAAGAAAAAATGTAGGTCCTAATATAGACCCTTGGGGAACTCCATGTTCAACATTGTGAAAATTGGAGTAATTATTATTTAAAAAAACGGCCTGTTTTCTGTTTATTAAATACGATCGAAATAAATTAAGAGCATTTCCCCTTATGCCATATTTGTGCATTTTGTCTAAAAGTAAAGTGTGTGAGACACAATCAAAAGCCTTAGATAAGTCACATAATGTTAAAGACACGAAGTGACCTCTCTCTAGGCCATCAACTACTTCCCTTACAATTCCCTGAATTGCTTGAGTAGTGCTGCATTTTTTTCTGAAACCATATTGATTATAATGAAGTATTTTGTACTTTTCTATGTACTCTATTAAACGGTTATTCAAAATACTTTCAAAAATTTTACCAAGAATGGGAATAATAGAAATAGTGCGATAATTTTCAATTTCTTCTGAAGATCCTTTTTTGAGTAGCGGTAACACTTTTGTTACTTTTAATACATCGGGAAAGATTCCTTCGATAAGGCAAAGATTATAAAGTATGACCAGTTTATCAATAATAATATCCAGAATTTCTATCACTAATTGTTTGTTTAAGAAGTAAAAATCAGTGCATTTTGAGTTTTTCAAGCTGTATAATGTATTCCTAACTTCAGTATCACTAACAGGTGTTAAAAACAACGAGTGGCAAGGGGAGTATATTCCCTCCAAAAAATGCATGGCATCATTTTCATCTGTCTCATCTAACGAGTTCAATATATTTCCCGCTACCGAAGGTAATTATTAAACTCGTTTGATGAAATATTACATGAAGTTACTTTTTTATATTGAGTTTTATTCCTATGATAATTGATGACTTTCCAAGAATCTCGAGATATATTATCAGATTTTAAGAAAAACTGCTCATATGCCAGTTTTTTCTTTATTGATATTGTTAATTGATAGTGTTTTTTGAATTGATTATACAGAGTGTAATCACTAGTAAGGTTAGCAGTAAATTTTTATCTTCGAAAGGTTTACTCGCATTTTCCTTAGTTCATCGTCAAACCAAGAAACATGTGCCTCAAAATGAATTCTTGACTTTTTTACTGAAAAGCAAACTTCAGTTATTTTTACATATGTGTCAATTATGAACTCAGCTAATTCCGTTGCTGTTATTGAATTGTTTATTAACGACCAATCCACAGATTTTAGAGATTGTTTTAACATTTGGGTGCCTTTACATGTTATGTGTCTTCTGAATATCCTATCATTGTCAATTTGATCAGATTTTATTTTTAAATTCAGGAATTGAGCACATAATATATTCTCCCTTTCACACCTATGACTATCCATAGCAACACGCCCTCATATAAAGTCTCATAAAATCACCTGTATTTTGGAAAATATGTTTTGATATCAACAATATATATATTTTTTTAATAAATAAAAAACAAGTTGTGCCAAAGTTGAAACCTTGTGCTCAAATACCGGTTAGTCCCGATAAAAAAATCTTCCTTTTTTATTATCTATTAATTGAATATTAAGTTAAAAGATATTCTAATTTTAAATACTAAGTTGCCTACCACCTGTCTTGTTGAGAGCGTGTTTTTAGTTTTTACATCCAAAAGGACAAAACAGGGTTGAAAAGGTTTCGGTGGCTCACCCTGTATAATAATAAACAATATACTTGTAATTTCTTGACAAATTTGGCTGACTAAACAAACACATGTTCTAGATGAGTACATATCCAGCAGTGACTAACCGAAGGTTCGGGATGTTAAAGAGTCGCATAATATTCGTAGTGGGTGACATCACTGTCATCTAGAATTCTCTGGAATTCATTACAGAAGCGAGCTTCTTCACAATACATACCAAAATGCTGCTGTGGAAATTAAGCTAAACCGAGATTTGCAAATTGGAATCTACAGAGTAAATAGAAGAGAAGACAAGAAGATATAATCCAAACTATTCCTCTGGGGTTGAAAGATTTTTTTAAATCCATAGATTAGGTACTATAATATAGGAATCTACGTCAACGCAAAATATTGTAATCATTTTAAGATAACTGATGATATATTACTGATAGTAACCACTAATGAACAACTAAAAAGAGTTAAAAATGAATCTCAATAAATAAAGTTTACGGAAATATGCCGGAAATTAAAGAAGAGGAGAAAATATAGAAAATGTCCATGTTATCAAGATGGAACCAAACCAGTGAAATATGTAGAACAACAACAATGAGATGACAGCAGTTTGAAGAGTTTCAAGTTACATTAAGACAATAATAAAGACAACAGCATACAAAATTTGATTTTTTAATCATTTACTTTGATTTTACTGAACTATTTAACTTCACCTACCAATGGAAATACTCAGACTGCCTTTATGTTGTTACATTTGACCTAAGTTGGTCAAAAATGAAAGTCTAAAATTTACCTGCTTGGAATTCCTGTGCAGAGTTCATTAGTTTGGTAGCCAAAGCACTTATAGCCTGTTCTTGAGTAGACGGTTTTGTTGGCCCTTGCAAATGACTTCGCTGAAAATTAGAAAAAATTTTTACTAATAAATTAACTGTTTCCATAAAATGGAAAGGATATAGAAGCCTATATAGTAGCCTATATCCTTTCCATTTCAATATGTCTGCTACCTTCGCACTTGAATTGCAAAGTCAGTTACAAACATTTCCTAGTCCAACTAATTCAAAAGTCAAAAAATGCTGAAAATTTGCTGTCAAATACAGCAAGGGAGTTAGGTCAACATTAATTATTAACACATTACATTAATTTAAATAAGGTCAAATCACTAGAAACAGTCGTTTATTAAACAATAAAATAGATTCTGTATTTGCAGTTCGTTTTAATTTCTTTTATATTTACAAAAAATCATATTTATAAATATTATTCTCTTCTTTAGTATTCCGAGTTCCGTATCCATTAGCATGGGGAAGGGGGAGGGTTAAGGAGTTGCTTCCAATTTACTCCACTTACCGTCTTCTACTCAAATCTGACTCTCACCTTCACGCTGGTGCCCCAGTTAAACCGAGCAACCCAACTGGAGATCCGGTGTCCCATCCGGGTGGAAAGTTGGGTGAACTGGTCATCCAGGTTGGGGGTTGGGCGTAGGGTTAACACCCCGAAACCGTAAAAAACAGCATGTTACGAGAATTCAAGGTAAAGTTTCCGGACTGAAATCTAGACGATGACTCGGCACGAAAAAAGACAATGATTTAGGATTATTCTGGTGGAATGTAAGATCTCTATACGGGAGCCTTGCAGTCTCTCATTAACAGTGTAGAAGTATATAAGAGCGATATGATTGCACCTCAGGAAATGAGATGGTTGGGAAATAAAATATTAGAGAAAAAAAAATTCTACGATATATTATAGCTGCAATCCAACGGAACACAAATTAGGAACGGGATTCGTAGTCAATAACAGAGTAAAGCACCTTATTCCAACCTCTCAACGAAAGATTATGCGCACTAAGAATCAGAGGTAAATTCTTTAAATATTCAATAATAAATGCCCATGCGCCAACTGAGTAGAAGCCGGATGAAGAAAATGAACAATTTCATAACCAACTGGAAAATATCATACAACATTGTCCTAGAATAACGTAACGGTCTTAATAGGAGATTTTAATGCAAAGATAGGTAAGGAGAGGGTATACATGCCAACCATTCGAATTCAGAGTTTACATGAGAGTCAAAAAACAACGGAACTTGACTAACACACTTAGCCTCCTCAATGAACATGGTGATTGCCAGCACATGCTTCAGGCACAAATATATACATAAGGAAACATGGATAAGTCCAGATGGGAATACAGTAAACCAAATCGACCATGTTGTGGTTAACGCAAGACATTTCTTTTAATTCTTAAACTTCTTCTTTTAATAGTTCCAAATTCTTTTTAATATAACAGTAACACATTCAAAAACACACAGACAAAGCAACCGAACACAAACAGCCGATACTAAATATATCGTATAACAACTATAAATCCTAAGAAAACAGAGATGGTCCTCTTTATCAGGAAAAGAAGAATCACAGGCTTAATACCCCCAAGGATTCTAAACTACAGTCTAAATTTTTCTGACGAGGTGAAGTACCTTGGTATTACCCTTAACAGGAAGTTAACATGGAACTCACACTTAGATGGTAGAGCTAAAAGAGCATATATTGTCTATGAACAGTGTCGACGAACGGTTGGACGCACCTGGGGCCTCACGCCCAGGGTGATCGCCTGGGTCTACACCGCTGTTATTAGGCCAATGCTAACTTACGGAGCTATTGCTTGGGTATCAAAAGTGCTACAGGCAACAGCGATTAACAAACTAAACCATACTCAGCGGATGGCTTGCATAAATATAACAGGTGCCATGAAAACAACACCAACTGCTGCAATGGAGTTGATCATTGGCATCACGCCTCTGGCAAATGCCTACTGCATTTACACCGATGGCTCCAAAATGAAAGAAGGCTCAGGATGCGGGATATACTCCAGATCACTGAACCTAAGAATAAAGTGGGGTATGGGAAAAATTGCCAGTGTAGTTCAGACAGGTATCTCCATAGCCGCAAAAGAGATAACCCAAAAAGGTATAGCAGGAAAAAACTATAATGATCTGCACAGATAGCAGACAAGCGCTACTAACCTTGAATAGACCACGTGTCACATCAGGTTTAGTAATGGAGTGTCACGAGTCACTAACTCAACCTTCGGATGGTAATACCACCATCCTGAAGTGGGTTAAAGGACACAATAGGAATAAAGGCAACCGCATTGCTGACCAATTATCTAGCAAGGCGGCAGGTCTAAGACTCTTAGGGCCTGGGGATCTTTTTGGTTGGTCAACTACAACAATCGCGGAAATTGTCAAATGTCACTCCCATACGCAAACCGTAAAAAGATGGGAATAAGGGAAAGGATGTAAACTTGCCAGGGTAACACTAAGTAACCTTGAAGAGTCAACATCAAAGAAGTACTTGGGAATGACCAGGAAAAATCTACGTTTGGCAGTTGGTTTTTTAACTGGTCATTGTCAACTAAACAAACACCTCCACACACTGGGGCTAGTAGACACACATATAAGTAGGAAGTGTGAACGAGAAGACGAAACTGTAGAGCATGTCCTATGTGAATGCCCAGAGTTATCGTTAATACGAGAGTACGCGTTCGGCGAGTCCTGGCCCACACCTGCCCACATAAGTGAGATGTCTCCTAGTGACTTGTCCACCTTCCTAGAAATGGCAGGATGGACAATGAGCTAAGGGTGACATATCCCTGGGAGGATGCACAATGGGTCAATTGTGGCCTAAGTGCTGTGAAACTTAACTCGCTCTCCCTACTCTACAGATACAGAACAACGATAAGTTAAGCACTAAGATTGCAAAAACTATTTGCATGTTTTTTTGCCGACTGACCATTTACCTAAAAAATATAATTCCCATTAAGATATTAAATAATACCATATCATTTAACTTTTAACTATCAACAAAAATGTAATATATGATGACAAGTATGGATTTGATGATATAATATAATCTTCACTGATATCGCAGGCCGCAGTACATATTTCTTTGTCGATAAGAGGGTTTAGATAACATGAATCATCTGTCAATGATATGTCGTGTGGATGGAACCTTATTTTTCTAATATCAACATGTTTTTGCAAAGGCATTACCTTGTAAACCTACATTATATCACAAAAAAATTAAATATAAATCATTAAAACTTGTTTGTTAATAAATTCACTGTATGAATACGATATATTATATCCCGTAGGTCCTATTTCGGTAAAATAATAAATCGAAAACTGTTGAGAGGCTACAACAGAGCAGTAAAATGTTATATATAAAAAAATTAGATTTTTTACCCATGGGGATTAGAGATCCTCGGTATCTGATTCATCATCATCAGAAAAATCCCATTCCGAATCTATCTATCTATATAAGGATTTTTACAGCTGTCGCCGCCTTCCTTCTTTCAGCCAACGTCTCCAATCCTTTCTGTTCTGCCATTGTCCATCTCTAAGGTCTCGTCTTTCCATGGCCTCGTTCAGTTCATCCCTCCATGATCTTCGGGGTCTACCTCTTTTCCTCCTTCCTATTGGGCTCCAATCCGAAATCTCTGCTATCAACCTTGTATGATCTGTTCTTCTCACATGTATATACCAAATTAAACGTTTTTCTTCGATGAGTATGTCTTGTTCTACTGCCATTCTTCGTTTTATCTCGTCATATCTGATGCGATCTAATTTTGTCACTCTGCAGTTTCTTCTCATGAGCATTTCACTCCATTTCAGTTGCTGTAATTTTGGACCTGTTTCTTTATTTATTACCCAATTCTCTGCTCCATAGGTCATTATACTGCTTACCAAGCTGTTATAAATTCTCTTCTTTGTATTTCTGGTAATCTGTCTATCCCACAGTTCATTTGTTTAATACATGTTCTTATCTGTGCTAATCTGCTGGTTATCTCTTGCTCGGTGGTTCCATTTTTTGAGAGTATGAATCCTAAATATTTGTATCCTAAATCATTGTATCTTAAAGTGATGACAAATTTATTCATATTATTTTCCACTGTTGCTTGTTGAACCAAAAATTCTTGCTGGTATTTTTTTTCCTTGGTTGCATCGGCTTTGCCACTTAGTATGAGGGAAAGTGTCAAAAAATTGTGCGCAAACTCTTTTACATTATTTATATTAAATGTGATATTTTTTGATGCTACATACGATTTGGAATAACATCTGGGTGATATGGAGGTAATCTTAAAATTTTATATCCATGTTTTATCGCGATCTCGTCTATTGCATATCGAACATATATCATGCGTTATGCATTTTTACTAAATCGTACAATTCCGCTTTTAGCATACTATTGTTTATTGGAATATTTCTGGTCTCTAACCATTTCTGTATCAATTCTTTCATTGACGTTGATTTTGGCACCTTGTCAATTTGGTTATTATGATAAGGTGCATTATCTATTACTACAACACTTTGTGGAGAAAGATTCGGTCCCAAAATTGACATTCTCATTAAAATGCAGCTTGTTCGTAAGATTTTTAGACGTCGAATCTCTGACGATTGGACTAGGCAGCTACGTAAATTTTCATTAGATCACTAGTGAGGTAACGAAACGTCAGTTATGAAAAATGTGGCGTTTCAAAACTTAAAAATGTATTTAAAGTTAGGGGTTAGATAAAGGTATTTTTTATTTCCTTCTATTAGACATGCCTTGTTCAGCTTTCTTTTTCATAAAAGTTAACACATTAGCAATTATTCCTCGACTTTGACTATTACCAGTCAGTCCGGTTAATTTGCTTCTAAACTCCATGCTATAATATTAAATAGCACTAATTTAGGTATGTCTACTTTTTTATATCACAATTATTTCCATACTCTTACAGTTTTTAATTTTAACAGAGTTCTGAAAAGAACTTTTGCATAAAATGAGTAAAAGTAACATATTTAAAACAGAATAAAGAAATACAAAACGTAAAATCACACCAAAATCAAATTTAAATACCGCGAGTAAAAGAAACAATGCAACAGTGTAAAAATATCCAGCACCTCACTGCATAACTTTACTGCATAAATGGCTTTGCTCGACTTTCAAATTTGTTTCTGCGCGGTGACTTTTCAATTTTACGAGATAGATGTTTGACTGTACTATAAGTGTTATAGTGTTTTCGGGATCATTCTTACACGCTAATAGTTTTTCGTACATATTTTGATAAAATGAATTTTTATCATATTGGGGTGGAATTTATCAATGTATAAACAATAATTTCAGCGATTCTAAGGTAAAAAAAAAATATTAAGTAAAGTAACTTACCAAAATTGGAACATTTGAAGTACTTTGAATTGGATTTTGCAGACCCACGGTGTTGACAACAGCTCCATTTATTACAGGAGTAGACGACTGATTGTGCAAACTCTGAGTCAACTGTTGCAAATGCTGCTGAGGCAAATTAGGTTGATTGGCACTTTGAGCTCGTAACTGAGCTTGGGCTTGAGCCTGAGCCTGCGCTACTCTTTCCTTGTACCCTGGACTCGACCTATAGCTGATTCTAACAGACTTTCTCCCGCTTTCCGTGAAAATATCAGTAAATTGGTAAATATATCGATTAGCGTTGGCACGAGATCCTAAAGAAAACCTACAAGCTACGCCATTTTGCTCGTTTTTCTTGTGATCCCTATCGAGGTAAAGTTCTCCTAAGTACTCTGAATCGGAAGGTCTTTGCAAAATTGATAACTTGATATGGTACACCCTTGGATTGCCTTTATCCTTTGAAGGCATGTCTGTTTCTAAAATATATTCTTCTATAAGTTGTGGCAAGCAGTCGCTAGTCTCTTTTGGTCGCTGATAAGGTTTAAATTCGTTAATAACGACTTCTTGTGGAGGGGCGAGAGGTGGGGGTTCTAAATTCGGTACTGGTATTGGTTTGATTTCATCTATGCTTTTCCTTAAAGGTTTAGAAGTAATAGTTGGCATAGACGAGGAACCGATCTTTGGTTTATTTCTGGATCTAGTGAGAAATTCATAAAATTCTAAACCAGGCCTATGAGTAAACTGATCCAATTTCCTTTTACGGTTCACTGTTACTTGGGAGAATTTTTTAGATAATCGTCTGAATTTGTGAGGATCCCATATTCTACGTTTATTGTATATTGACGTCATTTCATCGCCTATAGAACTATCGGGCTCTAAACATAAGCTTGGTGTGTTTGCCATTAGTATTTGGCTCTCCAGTTGGTCTTTTTCTTCATTACTCCAGTCTGATCTCTCTTCCATTATGTTATTTATATCAGCCACAATACTCTAAAAGTACATAAGACAATTATTTTATTATTATTTTGTATAAATAAGAGACATGGGAATAGAAAAATTATTTATATCAATGTTTTGCTTGATCTTCTAAACTATTGTCTTATTGAGGCTGTAGTTTAGAAACCATTATACTGTGTTATTGAGATTTACAATTCATTGATGAAAAACATGTGATAAGTCGCAAAGGAGTAAGACAGTCGTGCATCTTGTCACCTTTTCTATTTAATCTTTACTGTAAAAGTATCGAGCCATTATAAAAATCATGTAATTGGAGGATACTATACAATAAAAACTAAAAAACAATAACAGTTCTGCAGAAAATGAGATGGACCGGGATTGGCACCATTGACAAAAGACACCACATTATATTCTATAGTTGCGACGCTAAAGGCGACGCACTAGGTGCTAGCTTCATTGTAAATAAAAAGGTTAAACACCTCGTAAGAGACTTTCGTGATATGAACTCTAGAATGTTAATCCTGAGACTAAGGGGAACATGTTTTAATTATAGCATCTTAAATGTGCAATGCCCCTAGAGGCATGAGGACGATGTCAAAGAAAAATTCTATAAAGAACTAGAAGCTGCATACCATTCATGCCCAAATAATGAAATCAAAATTATTTATGGTGATCTCAACGCAAAAATAGGAAAAGAGCAACAATACCTACCAACTATAGGTAAGCACAGCTTCATGAGGTATCCAATGACAATGGCATCAGACTAATAAATCTAGCATCTAACACTACTCAGACGTAATAAACGTATGCAGCAAACGAGGGGCAAATGCAGACTTGGATCACTACCTAGTAGAAAGTAGAATAAGAGCCAGAGTCTCAAACATTAAAAAAAAGAAGGGATCCAAAATTGAAAAATATGAAATAAAAAACTTAGCAGACAACAGCAAAAACGCAAATACAATGAATATATAAAAAGAAGGCTAGAAAACAAACAAAAGCACGGGGATATAAACAGAGAATGGGAAGCGTGGAAAACATCATACAAGACGCGACCAAAGAGACCGTGGGTCTACAAAAAAAAGCTCAAATCAACTGAAGGGCAATGGTTCGATGAAGAGTGTCTTAACATAACAGAGAGGAAAAATAATGATATCAACGACAACAACAACGACGTAGAACACGAAAGGCAGAGGAGGCAGAGATGAAAGGCAGAAAATTCTACCAAAAACTTAACAAAAGCAGAAAAGAATTTAAACCAAGGACAATGATGTGCGGAGACAAAGAAGGAGATATAGTAACTCAACAGAGTGAAATACTACAAAGATCGACAGAATTCTTCAAAGAAAACTTAAAAAAAACGAAGATCCACTATATGATGGATCAAACGGCTACCAGAGAAACAATCCCCCCCCCCCCCCCCCACCCCTTCACTAGCTGAAATGCAAGAAGTAGTTACCAGACTGAAAAACAACAAGTCACCTGGATTAGACAACAATAGCGCAGAATTAATAAAGGAAGGCGGGGACTCCCTATTGAATGCGGTACACGAACTAATAGTGAACATTATGGAATAATAAGCAACTGCCACAAGACTGGAATACCGGAGTAATTATCCCACTACATAAAAAGGGAGAACAGCTTCAATGCAAAAACTACCGGGCAATAACGTTACTGACTGTGGCATATAAAATACTGTCAAATATTGTGTATGACCGATTGAGACCATATGCGGAACAAATAGTTGGGGGATATCAATCAAATGGTATTATATATTGGAATCAGAAAGCTAACATAAAAATAGAAACTGAAACATCACAAGCAATAGAAATACGTAGAGGAGTACGACAGGGTTGCATTTTGTCACCTCTGTTATTTAATGTATATAGTGAAAGCATCTATCAGGAAGCCCTTTTACAAGCAAACGGAGGAATCGTAATTAATGGAGAGATTGTAAATAATATTCGATACGCGGACGACACTGTACTAGTTGCAAGAACAGTAGAAGAATTACAAAGATTACTTACAGACATAAATATTGCTTGCAACAATTATGGTATAAATATCAATATTAAAAAAACCAAGTATATGGTCTTCAGTAAAAACATGACACAACCAGCGTATATTAGTATAAACGGCACTCAAGTTGAAAAAGTATCAAGTTACAAATACTTGGGAACTTTAATAAACGAAACTGTAGACCAAAACAGTGAAATAAAAAGACGTATCGAAATTGCCAGGGCCACCTTCATAAAGATGAGAAAATTCTTCTGCAACAGAAATATAAGCATCCCTCTACGATTAAGAATATTGAGAGGATATGTATTTAACACGCTATTATACGGTGTAGAGGCCTGGACTCTCAAACAGAACAACATGAAAAATATTGAAAGTTTCGAGATGTGGTGCTACCGTCGAATGCTGAAGATTAGTTGGGTTGAAAGAATAACAAACTGTGAAGTAATACGAAGAATAGGAAAAGACCCAGAGATTTTGTTAACGCTAAAGCGAAGAAAACTCGAATATTTTGGTCACCTGATGAGAGGACATAAATACGCATTACTTCAAAATATAATGCAGGGAAAAATAGAAGGAAAACGGAATCCAGGCCGTAGAAGAATGTCATGGTTGCGGAATTTGAGAGAGTGGTTTGGCTGCACCACTAATGAACTCTTTAGGTCAGCCGTAAACAAGGTCAGAATAGCCTTGATGATTTCCAATCTCCGATAGGAGTGGCACAAAAAGAAGAAAGAAGAAGAATCAAATGGTACGGATGCACATCAATCGAATTATTCAGAGCGGCAGCATCTAAGATCAGAATAGTCATGATGATTGCCAACTTTCGTCGCGGAGATGGCACATAATGAAGAAAAAGAAGGTCACTTTCGTATAGGTACGGGATAACTTCCCATTCTAGTGTTGGGGATAACGTTGGAACACATAACGATATATTAATGGCTGACTGACTACCCGTTTGAATGCTAAACCTGGTAGGTCTACCATCGTTTAACAGATTTAGATTTTGTGGGTGCAACAGAATCGGAAAGGAGAAAGAAATCGTGAGCAAAATTAAACAAAGAAAGCTTACATATCTGGGCCACATATTAAGACACGATAAGTACCGTCTACTGCAATTGATTGTCCAGGGGAAAATAGACAGTAAGCGAGGGCCAGGCAGGAGATGACACTCGTGGCTCCAAAATCACATCGGTCGAACTATTCAGAAGCGCCGCAAACAAGATCAGAATTGCCATGTTAATAGCCAACGTTCGCAACAGACGGGTCACTTGAAGAAGAAGATTTTGTGAAGTCATACTAAATGCCTTGCCTCAAGCCTTAGTTTTTATTGAATTCCATATCCTCCTCCTCAGTCCTAATCTCTTTTAGGATGTGGGGACACCATCAGACCTTTATAGTTTTTTCACAATTTCCCTCCATCCTTCTCTATCCTGGGCTAGTTGTTCGGCTTCATGTAACCCTTCATGTGAGCCTTCGAGACCACATAACAAACCAACAAATCAGGCGAAGATCAGGAGTTCAAGACGTCATCGAAAGAACCACGACGCTTAAGTGGAACTGGGCAGGGCACTTAGCCAGAACACAAGATGGACGGTGGACAAGACGTATTATGGAATGGAGGCCCAGAAATTATAAAAGGAGCCGAGGACGACCACCGACTAGATGGACCGATGACATTAAACGTGTAGCGGGAAACTGGCTACAAGCGGCCCAATGTAGAGAACACTGGAAAGAACTGAGGGAGGCCTATGTCCAGCAGTGGACGCGATTGGCTGATTGATGATGATGATGATGTAACCCTTGGTTAATCAATTTTTTTTATCTACCCAACGTCTTGAAGATCTTTTCCTAGGACTCTTTCCTTTAATTGTACCCTTGACTATCAGTTTTTCCATCGTACCTGTTTTTCTAGCAATGTGTCCAAAATACTGCAAATATCTATGTTGTATTTGTTCAAGCAATCTATCATTTACTTAAAGTTGTTCTACTATCGATACGTTATTGCGATGATCAACGTGCGTAGTTAAGCAATTGTTTGAAATATAGGCGTGTTTAGATCTAGCGTCGAAAACTAAGCACATGGTTGGTTGCACTAATTCTAAGAAAATTTAAAGGAGATACTAAGTTCTAGCCATGTTTTTTAAACTCTTGTTCTATACAATCATGTGGAATAGATAGACACGCATTAGATAATAATAAGCGTTGGCTTGGAGTAATGTTAATGGAGTTTGAATTTGTTCTGAATTTACTCTAATTATTCCAAAATCCTCTAGTTTTATGAGATATTCCTATAGTTGTATTCCATTAAGGGAGTTACTATATCAACTATAGCTTGATTTTTAGAAAGATAAGACAAGAGGCACAAAATATTGAAACAATAAGAAACCTGCCTTAGTTTAAATGCAAAAAGGCATGGAAATTACACTCACTTTATCAATTAACGGCACTATAACTGAGTCTGACTACATATAACAGTTTATCATGCTAAATGTTTATGTAGTACAAAAATTATGAGAGTTATTTGACAATCTTACAATATTTTTAATTTATTGTAATATAACTTTATTCGTATCATAACAAACTGTTTATGTTTATGTAACAACTTACCATTGACGTAGGCCTAAGCAGAACATGATGAATATCACATTTAAAATGTGGATAAGCCAATCTATAGTCTCTAACTTCAGCTATGATGCACCCACTGTAAAAAAGGTAACTAAACTGCTGTTCTAAAATGTCTACAATAAAAGGTGGAAGTTCTTCGTTATCTATGTATCGAAGAAGATCGTCCTCTTCATAAGGCCACAGTTTGGTTTCTATCATATTGGCAGTATCTTCAGTATAACTAGGATCGGTACGAGATAATGACCTGAATGCCAATGAATAACCTTTGTTACCAGGATAAAGATTTAAAATCAATGTGTTCAGTCTTTCTTTAGCTACAAGTTTCTCTAAGAGCAGAGGTTTATATTTTATCTGTAACAAAAAAAGAATATTTACTGCTATTACACAACACTATATAAAACAACACTGTATATATTGTAAAGATAAAAATCAAAATAAATCTAGAATATTTTAAATAGTGATAAACATATGGAAACAATTCTAATGTTTGGAAACGATTACATTCATTGGTTTTTATAATGACGAATCAACTACATTGGTTATTATTGCCATTAGATATTATACAGTTTCAGTGAAGGGGAGCTATATTAAGGTTGATCTGCACCCCCCAAAAGTCAAACTCCAAATTCAAAAAATTTGAGAAGGTATATGTGATGACTAGAAGTATTTTGACAACTTTTAAGCAAACTTTATGTTTTCGTTTTTGAAAAATCTCAAAAAAACTACTTTTTTCCAAGTATAAAGCGGGAAAACCAAACAGGATTTTGTTAATGTTTTTACAGCATCAAAATATACTTATAAGAAATACTTATGAATTTTTTGAAAATTTTTGAATTTACAGTTTTGTCCCAATAGGAAAAAATAATATGTTTCGGCTTATAATAAAGCTACTGGTAAGAAACCGAAAAAAATTTTAATAACATACATAAAACTGTAAAAGTAGAAGATAATTTGCAATAAAACGTTAAAATTTTTTTCCTAAACATATGAAAAATCTCGTTAAACAAGAATTATGTCTTGAACTGCCGCTTTCAAATTGTAATGTTGGGAGATGGCTCCATCTGAAGCAATGGTAGTATTTATCATCGATAGATAGCATTACGTTCGGCTTCGGAACGCTTCAAACGAAACGTCATACTAACAGGGTTGCCATAGCAATTACTTTGTACAACACTTTGGCAGATTATCAAAATTTAAGAGGAATGTTATCGGTTTGAATTTTGAACTGGTCATGCTGAAACTTACAGAGTTACAGATTAGTAGATACTGCAACTTTTATTTTGAACGTACGATATCATAAAATTTACACTTTATAAATAATATATCTATAAAAGACCTATTTAAAAAAAAAAGAGCTCAATGCTTTTGATATCGTAGGTATTTGGGATGAGTGAATTTTCCCCTTAGAGGGAGTGTGAGCGGTATGGCTAAATCTGGATAATACTCAAAAGCAAACTTAATTCCAAGCACATAGTAAAAGCAATAAACACACGCAATAGCACCTTTCACAGAGTCCTCATCTGGCGTTATAAAATCGTCGAATACGGAAACTGAAGAACTAAATAGACCAAATAGAACCGTGATAACTAAATACGCATCAACCACTCCAAATCATACATCCAACGTATGTCTACCACGCACACAAGGCGGGAGAAGAACGGGGTGTTTTGGAAATATCACCCACTACTTAAAAATAAAAAAAAACACCAAAAAATCAAAGACAAAAATATATAGAGCAGCAATTAGACCAATGATAGCATACGGAGCGGAAGTAATGTGTCTTACGAAAAAGATGAAGAAAAAATAAGAATTATTAAAACAAAAATTATAAGAATAAACAGACCAATAAAGCCAGAACAAGGAGAATATAAAAGACTAATGGAGCATGAAATAAGAAATATAAATATAAACGAAGAGGAAGACATAGTAAAATTAATTAATCCATAAAGACTTTAAATAACATTTCTGTTATTTTCCACTAAAATATTATAAAATACCAGATCATTTAATTTTTAACTATCAACAAAAATGTAATATAATATGATGTACGAATTTAATGGTAATACGATATTCACAGATACAGCCGCAAGTATAATAATTTCTTTGTCGATAAAATTGTTTAGATAATGAATGTTTATTTGGTATATATTCCGACTGACACAGCAGAGTGTCAGTATTTAAGCTATTCTCTTGCGAATAGCTTAAATACTTTCAGTAAGTCTCAATCAATCATAAAGTCTAGTTGTGAATTGCTCATTTTGTGATGTCTGACGATAAGTTTGTGATAAAGTTTATAAGTTTTATAATATCGCTGAATGTAGGATATAATGTGCTAATTAACTAAATATTTGTTATATACATGCAGAAAAAAACATTTTTTTTTTGTATTTATGAGTAAAAAATACATATAGTTTTCAATTTAGATTAAAAAATTGGTTAAATAATTATTTTGTAATTGGTACAAAATATTGTACATCAGGCAAATCACACTATTTCCTTTTAGAAGTTTTTCATTCGAGGAGGCGCTTAGTTTGTTAGAGAATAATGAAAATTTAGTAGCAAATGAAGACACTCTTACTTTAGTGCATGCAGTAAATGCATGTGGTCTCCTAATAGACGAAGACTCTGGTGTTGAAGGTATAAGGTTGATGAATAACTTATATGACGAAATATATACATATACAGATTATGGAGTCGCAACTAGCGTTTTTTTTAGAATATTCTGTTGCGCAAAGAGAACTATGGAAAGATGAAAAGTTTAATCTTGTTGTTGAGTACTGTTTTACCTCTATTATCCTAATGGAAAAACTGACGGACAGATTTTTAGCCACTGACGCGATTAGAGAAAATAGTTTAAAAGAAGTACAATTACTATATTCGCAAATTATAAGAAAAGAAACAGAGGGACCTATAATTACAGAAATAATTGCAGTACAATGACATGACAATAATTTAGTAACCCTTTGTTCAAACTCTGCAGTATTGCAACCAATTCATCTTATAAAGCGGTTCCCAGAACAAGAAAATGATCCAGATATGAAACAAAGTAGACAATTTTCCTTTGTAATACTAGTATGATTTATAAATTCAGGTGGACCAACCCCACCCCGTACATGTATGTAGTGTAAATATAGGTAGAGTAGACCATAGTGACGAAAATATTAGTCTCTAGCATATTTATATTCGAGGAAAAAAATGATATATTTCATTGATTAGTCAATGGATTGATAAGGCTATTCATAATAGCTGCCAACGTATTATGGTTCGCATGAAGAAAAATTAATTCAGTTATTCTTTATAAGACGCAGTGCGATATCTTTCTTACAACAAAAATAAACCTGCTTTCTACTGTCGACGTCGTTCATCGGCCAATGAAAACGTCGATATTACACATTTGGTGATTTTATAGAAAAAACCAACTCGATGAGGTTTTTGCCATGATAGAGCAAAAAGGTGTTCAAAATGTTATACAGGCTTCCGTATCCAATGTTTTGTTTCATACCATATCCAAACTTAATAGCAGGTTATATGCCTGGTGTACCATATTTTGAACAGTGTTTTTTTACTAATTTTGCGTAAATATCTTGTTTTAACTATAAATAAGTTTTTGTTAACTTATATAATGCGTAAATTTGAAGAAAAAATTTAAAATTTATTTTGAAGTAATTTTTAGTAAGTAATTTTGTTTGTATTCAGCGGTGTGTTCCCCACCATATCTTTATAAAATCCGTTATTATAATTAAGATATGTTTGAAATGTAAACAAAAAATTCATTATAGTTGACTTATCGACACAGAACTCTGTGATTACATTGTTGATTTTATTGAAAATTATTATTTTACGTATTTTTGTGCCGTGACTCATAAGACATTTGTGCGTTGATCATTACATCGGTATTTTAGTTAGTGGTGATTAAAGAAATTTATTACTTTGATAGGTATCTGCTTGAATTTTGACGAGTTTGTGTTCGGATAAAATATCAGGTTTCAGTGGCTCTACACATACCATTTAAAATTGATATATAAAATTAAATAAAATTGATTATTTAATTTTCAATTTTCACTTAAATATTTTCTTGACCTAATTATTTATTTAATTAATTGGAATTTACACTTAATAAATTGTACACATATAATATTGGCATCATTGCAATATATTTTGTACCAGACAGCACCCTAATACGCGTTATTATATTTTCACCATTTAGTTTACCATGTGTCGTTGACCTGAAGACAGTGAAATGAGATAGGGATGCGTATTGTCGCAAATTCTTTTTAATGCTCACTCAGAAGAGATCCTGAAAAATGCTCTTGAGGGTGAAACAGCTGGAATAAAGGTAAATGGAGAACCATTAACATTAACAACATTAGATATGAGAACGACACTGTGATCTTAGCCGAAAATATTGAAGATCTTCAGAGACTGGTGACCAGAATAGCGGAGTATAGAAGAGTATGGTCTAACAATGAATCTCAAGAAGTCGAAATTTATGAGAATATCGAAAACTCAAAGAAATAACGAGAATCTTATAATAAACGGAACCGACGTCGAACAAGTGGACAAATATGCATATCTGGGAACAATGATTATCTCCACAAATGATTACATTCAGAAGATCAAAAACAGAATAGAAAAGGCTAGAGCAAATTTCAACAAAATGAGAAGAGTGATGTACAAGGGATTTAAAATGGGAACTAAGAGTAAGGTTGGCGAGCTGCTATGTTTTTTGGACTTTACTTTATGGAGTGGAATTTTGGACCTTGAATGTGACGTCAATGAAAAAAGTGGAATTATTCGAGCTGTGAATGTATAGAAGAATTCTGAAAATATCGTGGACAGAACACGTCACAAACAAAGAGGTTCTGAGAAGGATAAATAAAGAAATAGAAATTTTAAATACAATTAAAACAAGAAAATTGGAATATCTCGGACATATTACACGTGGAGAGAAATACACCTTGCTCCAACTGATTATGCAGGGAAAGATTCTAGGAAAGAGAAGCATAGGGAGGCGTAGAATGTCATGGCTGCGCAACCTCGAAAAGGTCTTAATTTTAATAACAAAGTCAACTCTAGGATAAAGCAATATTGTGTTGATAAACATTCTGAATATTGTATTACTTCTTTCAAAGACAAGAAAAATAACTCATATGTTATATTAAATTGTTACAGATCGGTGATTTAAGTATGTTTTTGAATAACCTCGAAGGTATTTTAAATTATTTATATAAACCAAATATACGTTTTGTAATATGTGGTGATTTTAATGTAGATACCAGACATATGAATAACGACCATGTTAATCTACTCAATGTTTTACTGAATTTTAATATTAATTTTAACCTTGTCAA